ACCCCTTCTTTCATGTCATTTATGAAAAGATTAAACAGAATCAGCCCCAGGACAGAGCCCTGAGGGACCCTGCTTGTCAATGGCCACCATCCCGATGATTCCCCACTAATGGTTACCCTCTGCTTTTGGTCAGTCAACCATGCCCTAATCCACCGGACAGTGCTTTGCCGTATCCCAAAACTCCTCAGTTTCTCCACCAGGATACCATGGGGCACTTTGTCAAAGGCCTTGCTGAAATCCAGGTAAACCACATCCACTGCATCCCCTCCATCTAGCCATCTTGAAACCTTGTTGTAGAATTCCACAAGGTTTGTCGGGCAGGACCTGTTTTTGCGGAAGCCGTGTTGTGTGGCTGTCAGCCTCCCTTCCCTATCTAGCATCACTAGATCTCTCTCTATTATGAGCTTTTCCATTGTTTTTCCTACAATGGACATAAGGCTAACTGGTCTGTAATTCCCCATGTTTCTTCTACTATTGGGATCACTGATGCCACCCTCCAGTCCTCTAGAACTTCACCCGTTCTCCATGAGGCCTCAAAAATGGAGGCCAGCGGGTGTGAGAGAACCCCTGCCAACTCTCTAAGTACTCTCGAGTGTAACCCATCAGGGCCTGGCAACTTTGTAATGTCCAATGCCCTGAGGAGCCCCTCGACTTCAAGGGGGGTGACTCTAATCTGTGCACCTAAGTCCCCAGCCTCATCTAATCTCCTATGCAGATCTCCCCTGTCCTGCTTTGGGGAGAACACAGAGGCAAAATAGTCATTTAGCATCTGTGCCTGTTCCCTCATATCAGTCACTGGATCTCCTTCCTCCTTGTTTAGTGGTCCCACTACTTGTCTCCCCTTCCTCTTCCTATTTACATGCTGAAAGAAGCCCTTTTTGTTGCTCTTGATATTCTTGGCAAGTCTCAGCTCGTAATCAGCCTTAGCCTTGCAAAGAATCCTTCTGCAACGGGCCTTTTGTCTATTTGCCCCAATACCCATTTTCTACGGAGGTTCCTCTTTCGTCTAATCCCTCTAACCACTTCCTTTTGCATCCATGGTGGTGCTCTCCTCCGCCTCCCCACCTTACTAACTAGAGGTATCATCAAGGCTTGCACCTCCAAAACCTCCCTTTTGAGTGCCACCCCTCCAGAACTCGCTTACCTTCCAGTAACCTATCCCAGGAGACTTTCCCCAGTCTGGCCTTCAGTTGGCCAAAGTTGGCCCTCTTGAAGTCCCAGCTTCTAGTGCTCGACCTGCTGCACATCCCCAGTCCCTTGATCTCAAAGCAAAGGATGGAGTGATCACTCGCATCCAGGACTCCCCTAATCTGTACTTCATCTATCAGCTCCTCTCTATTGGTCAAGACCAAGTCAAGGATGTTTCCCCCCCTCGTTGCCTCTCGGACCCTCTGTGTGAAGTTATTTGCCATAGCTTTCCTCCCCAGGAGCAAGTGTCTTTTAATTCCTTGGCTGCAGTCCCCATCTGCGGTGATCTTGGAGCCCAGGAAAATCAAATCTGTCACTACCTCCATTTCTTCCCCATCTATTTGCCAGGCAGTGAGAGGACTGGATGCCATGATCTTAGTTTTCTTAATGTTGAGTTTCAAGCCAACTTTTGCACTCTCCTCCTTCACCCACATCAGGAGGCTCTTTAGTTCCTCTTCACTTTCTGCCATGAGAGTGGTATCATCTGCATATCTGAGGTTGTTGATATTTCTCCCAGCAATCTTAATTCCAACTGGTGATTCTTCTAGGCCTGCCTTTCTCATGATGTGCTCTGCATATCAGTTAAATAGGCAGGGCGGCAGTATACAGCCTTGCCGAACTCCTTTCTCAATTTTGAACCGATCATTGATTCCATGTCCAGTTCTCACTGTTGCTTCTTGACCCGCATATAGGTTTCTCAAGAGATGAATAAGATGGTCTGGTACTCCCATCTCTTTAAGAACTTGCCATAATTTGTTGTGATCCGCACAATCAAAGGCTTTAGCATAGTCAACGAAGCAGAAGTAGATGTTTTTCTGGAACTCCCTAGCTTTCTCCATGATCCAATGTATGTTGGCAATTTGATCTCCAGTTCCTCTTTGAAATCCTGCCTGTATTTCTGGTAGTTCTCAGTCCATATACTGCTGGAGCCTAGTTTGTAGGATTTTGAACATAACTTTTTTATTTTTTTATTTATTTTTCGATTTATATCATGCCTTTTTCCTACAAAGGGCTCAAGGCAGCTTATATCATTCCCCTCCTCCATCTTATCCCCACAACAACAACCCTGTGAGGTAGGTTGGGCTGAGAGTCTGTGACTGGCCCAAAGTCACTCAGTTGGCACCATGGCTGAGCGGGGACTAGAACCCAGATGGTCTGAGTCCCAGTTCCATGCTCTTAGCCACTACACCACACTACTACACATAACTTTGCTAGCATGTGGAATGAGTGCAATCGTGCGGTAGTTTGAACGTTCTTTGGCATTGCCCTTCTTTGGGATCAGAATGTAAACCAG